AAATACACATTAAGTAAATCACAAACATCTAATACGTATAAATTTTTATATGTAAATATTAGAAACTCTTTAGTCGATTTTGATGATTTAAATTACGCACTCTTTCATATCATTGAGTATAATTAATATATTAAAGAATGAGTTATATTTTATGACAATTTAGTCAGACTACTTTGCACTCACTCGATCTAGATTACTAAAGTCAAGATGGTTGTTGGTGGAAAATATGTCTAACTAAATTCTTTGGCTCAGTTAAATCTCATGATTAATAGAAAATAGGTCAAAAAGGAGACAATGATGAGGACATCGATCCAAGGTTCAAACATGTGTATCGCCGGAAGCATCGCAGATCGATGGCCACGATTCAGAGCTTATATTTCTAGTTGTTTATGCATTTTATTTTTATGTCTTCCTATTATACCTGTATGTTGAGTTGAGTCATGTTAGGGCCCTGAGGGCAATTTAGTCTTTATTTCTTCTTGTATGATTGAGACCTATATATATGGGTCATTTCTCTTGTAATAGCTAATGAATATTGGAATGAAAAATTTGTGTTTGTTTCTACTTCTTCTTGCATGAGAGCATGAGAAGGGAGAGAGCTCAAGGGGAGCAAATCGCAAGGGCCACCAGTCGTTGGAAGAGTCCTCGGCTCGTGGTTAAATTATTCTATCTTCTCATTCGTATTTACCTCCATCTCCTTCCCCTCCACCACAAGAAATCCCTTCTAAACCCTTATTGCCGCCGCACCTTGGGAGCCCGCCGCCGACCACTTCTACGGCCCCGGCCGGCCACCTTGCCGGCGACTTCACCACCCGTCCGACCCCATCTCTACACAAGTTTCAAATTTGAATTTGAAATTCAAATTTCAAATTCTTTCCTAATTTGGAATTCCAATTTAGGAAAGTTTTCATGATGAATTTCAATTCCAATTTAATTTAAATTGGAGTCATTAAACATATTTCCACCTCATCACCCCAAATTGGAAACTCCCTTCCCACCAATCCCCTCTCCCCTCTTCACATGCCGCCGGCCCCCCTTGAGGGATTCTCCCCATTAATTGCTTGTTTAATACCTCATCCGTTTTGAAATTAGAATTTGATTTCAAAGGTTGTTCCCTCCCAATTTACTTAATCCTGAAATTTAATTTCAGATTTAAGTTTTAAACCTCCTCCCTCTCCCTATAAGCCGCCTAATGTGAAACATAAATGCCATATACTTGCCTATGTGGCAAGATTAATTAAAGCCCAAATCAATTTGGGGAGAGAGAATAGAAATCTGAAATTAAGGAGTAATTAAAGCTAATTCAAATTCAAATTTTGAATTTGAATTGTCATTAATTGGGAGGATTAAATGATTAATTGATTTAAATCTGAAATTAAATTTCAGATTTAAATTAAAGATTATTGGCTTAATTGGAAGGACGAATTTAAGGAGTAATTAATGCTAATTCAAATTCAAATTTTGAATTTGAATTGTCATTAATTGTGAGGATTAAATGATTAATTGATTTAAATCTGAAATTAAATTTCATATTTAAATTAATGGTTATTGGCTTAATTGGAGGGACGAATTTAAGGAGTAATTAATGCTAATTCAAATTCAAAATTTGAATTTGAATTGTCATTAATTGTGAGCCTCTCCTAATTAAGAAATTTCTTTATTCCAAGGAGGAAGGGAGGGGGAGGTGGGGGTTGGTGGGCGTCGGCCTACGGAATGGCCGGCGGCAAGGAGAACTTGGGGAGGAAAAGCCCGAGCTTGGTAGAGGATGAGAAGTTTGGGGAAATCTAGGAATTTCTAACCTCACGCTCTTAAACTTCAAGATCTCAAAGGAGATTGTAGGGATGTCGGAACTCACACAGAGATCCACGAAACTCTCCTCAAGAACTCACATGGAGATCTTGAGAATCTCGGAACTCACAAAGAGATCCGTGAAACTCTCCTCAAGAACTCACAAAGAGATCTTGGGAAAGTCGGATCTCACAAAGAGATCCTTCTGAACTCACTAAGAGATCAACACGAAAATAAAATTTTCCATTATCAATAATCCATCCTCCTAATACAAGAGAGGGGGCCTCTATATATAGGCCTCAAGAGAAATTAAAAGACACATTCGCCCCTTGGGCTTAAATAAAACAAGAGGGTAAAATGAAAAATTGCAAAACTAAATTAAAATACACTTAATAAATGAAAATAAAGCAAAGTGATCTCGGTCGTCGATCTTCAGCTCCTCCTCGGACTGGAATGGACGGTTGGATGTCCGCATCATTCTCCCGGGGTGGAAAGACTCGACTCCGTCAAGTTCGCATCCCGGGTGAGCAACCATGCTTTGATACTAAACTGATGTGAAACATAAATGTCATATACTTGCCTATGTGGCAAGATTAATTAAAGCCCAAATCAATTTGGGGAGAGAGAATAGAAATCTGAAATTAAGGAGTAATTAAAGCTAATTCAAATTCAAATTTTGAATTTGAATTGTCATTAATTGAGAAGATTAAATGATTAATTGATTTAAATCTGAAATTAAATTTCAGATATAAATTAATGATTATTGGCTTAATTGGAGGGACGAATTTAAGGAGTAATTAATGCTAATTCAAATTCAAATTTTGAATTTGAATTGTCATTAATTGTGAGGATTAAATGATTAATTGATTTAAATTTGAAATTAAATTTCAGATTTAAATTAATGGTTATTGGCTTAATTGGAGGGACGAATTTAAGGAGTAATTAATGCTAATTCAAATTCAAATTCAAATTTTGAATTTGAATTGTCATTAATTGTGAGGCTCTCCTAATTAAGAAATTTCTTTATTCCAAGGAGGAAGAGAGGGGGAGGTGGGGGTTAGTGGGCGTCAGCCTAAGGGATGGCCGGAGGGTGAATTTCTGGACAGACCAACAGGGCCGGCGACAAGGAGAACTTGGGGAGGAAAAGCCCGAGCTTGGTAGAGGATGAAAAGTTTGGGGAAATCTAGGAATTTCTAACCTCACGCTCTTCAACTTCAAGATCTCAAAGGAGATTGTAGGGATGTCGGAACTCACACAGAGATCCACGAAACTCTCCTCAAGAACTCACAAAGAGATCTTGAGAATCTCGGAACTCACAAAGAGATCCGCGAAACTCTCCTCAAGAACTCACAAAGAGATCTTGGGAAAGTCGGAACTCACAAAGAGATCCTTCTGAACTCACTAAGAGATCAACACGAAAATAAAATTTCTCATTATCAATAATCCATCCTCCAAATACAAGAGAGGGGGTCTCTATATATAGGCCTCAAGAGAAATTAAAAGACACATTCTCCCCTTGGGCTTACATAAAACAAGCGGGTAAAATGGGAAATTGCAAAACTAAATTAAAATACACTTAATAAACGAAAATAAAGCAAAGTGATCTCGGTCGTCGATCTTCAGCTCCTCCTCGGACTGGCATGGACGGTTGGATGTCCGCATCACCGCCGGCCCCCTTCCTTGGCTTCCCCTCATTAAACTCCATTAAGTGTTAATTGCTTGATTTGAAATAAAAAATTCAAATCAAATTTCCCTCCAAACTCAACCAAGTCTGAAATTAATTCAGATTTTTTTTTTATTAACTCCCTAAAGCAAGCCACCCAAACCTAATTATCTCAAACCCTAGCCCCCTCCTCTGTGCACCCGCCGGCCTCACCATCTCCCCTTGAGAAACCCGCCAGCCCCCTTCCCCTTCCTCTTCCTCCTCCTTCTAACGCAAGGGCTCTCCCTCATCGCCACTTATTTTTTCTATTAATTGGATTTCTCGCCAACGTCGCATGCATGGCAGATCCCGAGTATGAGTGGGGACTAGTATTCAACGCAGACGGAAACCTTAATATCCTACGATCTCCATTCTTCGACGTGGGATTTGAAGACGACGTTACCGTTGGAGATTATTTGGATCGAGTGGTTCCTACCCTTGTGAGCGTCATCAACCGCCAACGTCTGAAACTACGATTGGAGCATCAACAGTCGATCATTCCCGTCATCCTCGCCACCGTCAACCATTCCGTGGTTCAAGGCCCTTGGGGTTGCTACCGTCCTCGTGGCATCGTCGGGTTTGCTAAAGACCTTCTTCCGCTAAGCCTAGTATAGTTGAGTGATCCATCCCCAAGGTAAAAACTCTCATTATTAAGTTGCGGATTGTTGATTAATAGCTTTTGGTATTGCTACTATCTTTGATTATCTATGAATTTTGGCTAATCTACATGTACTTCCTCGCCTAAGCTAGTTGAAGACTAAGATTCTTAGATAAATTTGCTTGTTATTTCAATAAGTTCTTAATTGAGATTTCTTTATCAATCATTCTTAAAATTTCTCAACAAGCGCCTTGCAAGTGGTATTACATCAGACAACCTTGCTACAATTTGGTAAAAAGAAATATGTAAAATTGCCAAATACCATGTAGAAAAGATGATTAGCTGATTTGTTATTCAAGGGGTAAAAACATCACAAATTTGCACATTAGTTAAGAAGGATTTGGTCTTTGAATTAATCCCTAAGAATCATAAAATTTTATATTTGGAGAAACTTAAAGAAAGAAAGAACTAATGTGGAATAAAAATACTTGAAGCAGAATTTCTATATTACAGATTTAATTATTTTAGGAAAGGGAAATATTTATATGCAGGTTTCAAACATCTAATTTCTAGAATTCAGAATTTGACAATAGCGATTCATACAAGGAAAAGCAAAAATAACATGGGTTTTGCAATGTCAGTTAAACGAATATTTCTACTCTTGTAGGCATGCCTACCATGGCTATGGGTCATTGTTACGATTTCACGCATAGATTTCATTAGTCCCAAGCCAATGTAATTAGAGATCAGCTGAATCAATAAACAGCGGGTAAAATAAAAGTAACCATCAGTCCAATCAGATGTCAATGAACAGAACAACGCTAAAAAATATACTGCAAAATTTGTATCAGTTACATTGGAATTACAATAGTGTTAGGACATAGAAGTTCTGAGAATTTGTCAAGAACATGCCAGTATATCTCCTGCAGGGATGCCAAGCCATTGTTGAATCATCTGCAGACATGAGAGAGGTTTTAATAAGAATCACTGTTAAATTCTAAAAAGAAAAAGAACTTAAAGGCCAACATCTTTAAACTAACAAGACATAATAAGGAAGTTTTCATAGAAGGTCTTACAGAAGCCCAATGCAAACGCAAGGATGAGGGTGTCAAAACAAGAACAGGCCAGGACTCACTAAGGCTAGAAGCAACTGCAAGTGCCTGCACTGACAAAAAAAAATTATTCAATTAAAATTAGGAAAATCAAAGTAAAATAATTCTACTTACTACAAATGCTAGCCAGTCTGCACTCTAGTTAAGCAAAGAAACATTCATCAAGTTTGATTATTTTTCACTTTACAGTTTATTCTAACCTATCGTCCAACCATAAAAAATTGTACTGCTATCCAGCGGCAAATTCTAATTATTTTCATTTTCCATGAGTATCCAATAAAGGTTTACAAAAATTTGAGACAAGTATAACAGTCATGCTCACCGTTATAAACAGGAAGGATTCACATGAATAAACAAAAATTCAAAAAATAAAATAAAACAAAATAAAAACCCAAATGCTCCCAAGTCATCCAGAAGAGTGGTTGAGAGAGAAACCCCAGCTTGACCTTTCTTTGAAATGGTAAAGCATGCTTAATGATCTGCTTTGCCTATCTCCAAGACAATATAGAAATTCTCCAATGCAATATAATTTCTTACCCATAACAAAGACCAATTATTCCTTCAAAGATCCAAAATTGATGGACGTAGTTTTCAATGTATAAAAACAAATTACTTCTTCCACTTCATTATAGTTATCTACATCAAAACAAGCATATGGGTAAATTTTCATCTTCAATAAAGGCTGACAATAATAAAATAAGGCTTCATCTGGACCGAGAAGAGATTGGACATTACTGATGCAATGCTTGCATAGACGGGAGTTGCACATATCAAATGAATGATTGTGTAATGAACCGTTGGGTGGCCAATTCAACCGAACCGGCCAACCCACCTTTTAATAGCCGCGACCCCAAAAGGGGTCGGTATTGGATGTTTCGCGAAACAGAGCGCGGAAGGGGGGCGGATGACCGGATCTTCACGCGAAGGCTTGGGGAGACTTTCTTACGCCAATTTTAGCAAACGAACGCGTTGGAGGGTGAGATTTAACAACTCCTTTTCGTTCTTATTGTTATAGAAGCAAAGATTTTTGGGAGAAATTGCAAAGAACGAGAGAAACGATCGAGAAAAAGAAGGAAAAAGGTTTGTAGAATTTTCTTCCGGATTTTTGTATAAATTTCCTTCGTTTACTTCGTTTAAAGTGAACAATATGTTTCTTAAAGGTAGAGGAAGAGAATTGAAGCAAAGAGAGAATTTTTGGAAGAGGAAGAAGGATTTTTGGGAGATTTGGAAAATCCCATTGTAAGAAATTTCTATCATGAAACTATTCTTGAGTTTTATTTGATAAAGCAAATTCATGAAAACTTTATTTCTTGATGATAGAGATTTGGAGAGAGGTTCAAGGTAACACCCTTCGTCGAAGGCCTAAAAAGTTCAAAGTGGGTAATTATAATAATGAAATTCAAATTTTAGCATTATTCTTCTGCTTTCAAAGTTTTAATTTAAAGACTACAATGTACGAAATGTTGAAAGATTAACTGCCTAAGTAATTGTAATTATTATTCCAATAAGAAATAAATGAATTGAATAACATATGAATGAAAAGAAAAAACTGTATGTATTAAAGAAATATTGAAAAGAAACGACATATGAAATAGAATAGAAATGTTATGGTGAATGTAAAAGAAAGGAAAAAGGATATATATGAATATTTCAGGAGTTCACCTCCTTATGGTACTGGCTGGGGACGCCGTACTCGTGCACGAAAAAGGAAAAGGAAAAGGTTATGGAAAAGGAAAAGGTTATGGACATGGAAAAGGTAATCAAATGGAAAAGGTTGTACCTTCGGGTACTTTGAGACGGTGCTCCTATGCAAAGTAAATGGAAAGAAAAGAAATATGAATGAAACATTAAAGCTATAAAATGTTTTAAATTGTTTTGAAAGAAATTATCAAGAGATGTAAATTATTGAAAAGAATGAAATAAATGTTAAGAAATAACACGATGCCTATTATAGAATAATAATAGTGATTATTAAATAGTTACCCACTGAATTTATTTAGTAAACTCAAACCACGAGTTTAAATGTTTCCGGTAATTCCTAAGAAAAGAAATGACAAAAAGAGAAGAACATGTTTACAGAAGACGTCGTCCAAATGACAACAAGTAAATTAATTTTTTGTGTTTAGTGGCTCTTCAGTTAATAGAAAAGTTTTTGATGATGAGTTATTATTATATTGATGGAAATGTACTATCGTCCGACTTTTCGTACCCGCCTCGTTAGATCGAGCATCCGGGCCGGATCGTGACAGATTGTTACAACAGTGCACAATTCAAGTAGCAAATGGAGCAAAACTTTGGTAGTAGCATTTGAAGAGTAATTCTTCAAAACAACAAACATAGAGGTGACTAGAAAAATTCCCAATAAATATGAGCAAAATATAAAATTAAGTTATCATTAATATTGAACGAAACATTCATGAGATTCAACCCAAAAGATATAATGGTGCAATATAAATTAAAGATGTAAAAAAGCTTCTAGCACATTGAATTTAAACTTATAATTGCCTGTAATGTCTTTCCAAGCCCCATTTCATCCGCCAACAGAGCACGTCCGCCATGCTGTAACACAAACCTATAGCATTTGGAGAACCATGATAAGATTGTATTATTGCCACATACTAAAACAATAGGATCATTCAGCGAGCAACAAGAATATGTAGCCAGCATGATCTCAGAATGAAATTCCAAGGCTTGCTACATGTAATAATCATTCCAAACACTCAAAAAGTAGCAGGGAGAGTAACGTGAAACTATATTTATTCCAATTTAGATAATTAATAAATTATATTTAAAAGCAATTTTAAGCATCATTCTGAGACTCAAAACAATAACAATAATAGCATCAGCAAAGACATTAAAGGCTTTTCGCCCTTCTTTTAAGGGAAAACTTATAGATTTGAACATGTCATCAGGGACAGAACCACGTTAGTGTGAGAGTGGACAGTTGTCCACCCTTAAAAAAATACTTATTATGACAGTAAATTCGAAAGTCCCCCCCTCCCCCGAAAAATTTTAATTTTCCCTTCTGCCCACGTGCGTGACGACTACAAAACAATGCCCTGTTGGCTCTCGACTCTCTTGCTTCCACTCTATTTGACTATAAGCTGCTCGGCCTTCGCTTGATACTTGCACCGCACGAGTCACACCATTGCTCCTGTGCTCGGCCTCCTGACGGCGCTGCTCCCGCCCATGATCTACCTCCTCCACACCTCACGCTGCTGCTCTACTCTGATGCTCCGCTCCTCACACAAGTTTAGAGGCATTTTTTTATCAGCTTCTCTCTGGACTCTACTTTTACCCCTTGTGTTAAGCTAACTGCTATTCTGATTTCTAAATGATCATGTTTTGGGTTTTCTGTTTGTGAATAAAAGATGTTAGGTCTAGAGATCCATTTCCAGGTAATGTGCTTTCATGTTTGTATTTGTTTTTGAAAAATCTAATATTTCTTTCAAGTAAAATTATTTTTTTCTTTCAGATGACAATAATTTTAATTCGTGATAAATGAAATATTCCCTTGTGTGGTATACATTTTAGACTTTTATCAGGCATATTTAAACCGTAAAGTTCATTATTTTTATCTACGTTTTCAGTTACTACTACATAATCTATTTTCATTATTTTTCAAAGACAAAAAAGCAGTGAAAATGGTTGATAGAAGTTAAGTATTTTTTAATCTTTTTGTTGTTATTTATCTCAACGTTCTTAGCATATTTTGAGGTTATTTTGTGATAATTTATTTAAATCGCTCATCCCCTGAAATACATAGTTATCTTTTTTATGTGAGAGGATTTACATGGATTGTTTCTTGGGCTTAGAAGTTATTGTTAAGATTATGAAAAGAAGCAACTTAGTGAAAGCATAAAGTCAATTAAAAAACATGCTAAATGTAACACAAAACATACAATCTATTCTCTAAGTTGTGATAACATTAATTCAAGGTACATTATTATTGAATGAGGCCTGCAATGCTTTATGGTGCTGAATGTTGGCCATTAAAAGAGAAGCATAATACTAAGTTAAGTGTGGCAAAGATGAGGATGCTCAGATGGATGAGTGGCTTTACCCTTAGAAATAGGATATGAAATGAGCATATACGTGAAAAGGTTGGAGTAGCTCCAGTAGAAGATAAGATTAGAGAGAGTCGCCTTAGATGGTTTGGTCACATAAAAAGGCGGCCTTCCGATGACCCGGCTAGGAGAGTAGAGGTATTAGATTTGACTTGTGTTAAGAAAGGTAGGGGTAGACCTAAAAAGACTTGGTTAGAAAACATTAGGAATGACCTTTCTTTATTAGATTTAAACGAGAATTTGACTTTTAATAGGACACAATGGAGAAAAAGGATTCATGTAGCTGACCCCACGTAGTGGGATAAAGGCTTGATGTTGTTCTTGTTGTTGTTGTACATTATTATTGAATGATGTCATAAGTTGTTCAAAAAGATCTAAGAAGATAAATTTCAACCTTCAATTCGAATCATTTGGGTTTAATTTCTGGAAATGAATGCCTTTACATTAGGTAGTTCTGGAAAATTTTATAATTTGGAGTTGAAGAAAAACTTCAAATAGTTAATGTAAATTAGATGCAATTTGGTCCGAGTTGTGCCCATCAAATTGTCACCAAAGCTTCATTATGGTAAATGCAAGTAATTCAACTATAAAAAAATGATTTGATCTGCAATTTTATGCAGTTACGATAAGCTAAGAACTAATAGATTGAATTAGAATAAGAATAAAAAAAATTCACCATTACTGTAACAAATCATTCACTTCAACATTTATAAATAGATCAAATATTAGTCACTAATAAGAGTTTAACTAGCAGCAGCTTGAGCTAAAGATCAAAATCAGCAAATATCATGAATTCAGTGGAAGCATTTAGTTAGTTGGTTTATTTATCAGCGCATGGTCTTAAATAACTAGCACTGACTGAAAATATTTAGAACTGCTTCATTTTCTTCCTAATCATAACGACAAAATAAAGAAAGTTACATTGGCAAATGCTAGTTCAAATTTGAAGTTAACTTAACCATAGGTTCAAAAAGAACTTATCATGCTGCGGCTACTGAAACCCAATAACGGCGAAATACCTCTCCACCTTATAGATAATGCCTTCCTCTCCAAACATAGACCCGCGACTGCCAATTTCTCCTCATCCGTCAACCCATTAACGGCGAAATACCTCTCCACCTTGTAGATCCACCCAAAGGCATCCTCTCCTTCAAATACTGACATCTTCAACTTTCTCACCTTCGGATCTCCCCCGTTTCCCCGTATTCCGCCATAGTTTCCCTTTTCACAAGTGTTTTGTTCCCCTCCATGTCTCCCGGTCTTCCCTTGCACATTCATCTTCAAACCCTTCTTCACTTTCATCCTCTTTTGTCAAAATTCAGCACCCCTCCTTCCATAATTTCTCTCTTTTCTCTTCCAACCAGTCCCCCCTTTCTTTATGTTCCCTATTCCCACCTATCTCCATCACTTTCCCTCCTACGAACATCAGAATTCATAGTTCTTCCCACTAGTCCCTTTGCCTCCAACGCCGCCATTTCAATTTGATTCTCGAAGATCTTCTTCATCATCAGATGAAGATCAGAAATTGTCTTCCATCAACGAAACCTTGCCTTCCACGGAAGAGAGTTGATCTTCCATCATGGATTTGATTTGGCTCATCTCCCCTTCGAAACGTTCCTCCAATGCATCAACTTTCTTGGCCACCATAACAAAAATCTATATATTAGATCCAAATTTCAGCAAGATCTCTCCTTCTGGTCAAAATTCTTCCGCTGAATTTTCAAAAAAATCAGCCCACAATGGTCCAGGAATTGCTCTGATACCAATTTGATAGGAAATACTTGAGTTCGCAAGTAATCCTATCGGATTTACTTGAGTTCGCAAGCAACCCCACGAATATTGGTGAAATCAGTGAGAAAGAACACAAGCTAGGCAACAAAATCAACTCAAAACAGTAGATTTTATTAGGGAAATCGAAGTAAAGCAAAAGAAAAGCAAAGATACAATTGATCCTCAATTCAAGAGGAGGATCGTTCTCTCTCAATCTCTAGACAATGAATCTAGAGCCCAAAACCCTAAGAGAACTCCAAGAGAATAACTCAAATCATGCATACCCTAACCCTAACCTCTCATCTTCTTTAAATACATATCTTCATAATAAAAAGCTTCCTAAAATAAACCAAATTCAAATTAACCTCCAAGGCTTTAGCTGCCCCCTTCTCTCTCTCTAATTGCCGCCCAAGGGGTGGCCCACATGTTTGGGCGGAAGGCTCTTAAGGAGGAACAATTATTAGGTCCTCCGACCGGACGTAGAGGAACGTCCGGTCAGCACTAAAATCCCGCCAAAAAACTCGGTATTGCTAGCTATTATTTGGTAATAATGAGAAATACCGCTCTATGAAGATCAATACCGAGTTATACCAAGCAATACCGAGTTATACAAAAAAATACTGAGTTTTTTCTAGGAAAAACTCGGTATTTTTTTGTATAACTCTGTATTGCTCGGTATAGCTCGGTATAACTCGGTATTGGGTCTTCACATAATGGTGTTCCTTGTTATTGTTTGGTATTGCTCGGTATTTCTTGTTTTTTTGCGCAATTTTAGCTCCGACCGGACGTAGCTCTACGTCCGGACGGAGGACCTAATAATTGTTCCTTAAGGAGGTGGCTTGGGCCGCCTTCTATAGACCTAAATCGGCCAAACCTGGGACGGTTCGATTGGTTCACCCTGAATCGTAACAAACAGCCAGTGGAGTTTTCGATTGAATCTCTATGATCTTCATCATCATCTCCTCCAACCTTCCAAATCGGCTCTCCATTGTTGAAAGCCTTTCTTCCATGATTGAGAACTTCTCCATCTGCGATTTGATTTTCACCACTTTGCCTTTTAAAGCATCCACCTTCTTTGCTGCCATCACTTCAAAAACCCTGGCTCTGATACCAATTTGACGTGCCTTCAAAGTAAAAAAGAGCAAATAAAAGAGAAGAAAAGCATATGAACACAAAGATAATAGTTGTTTTCTGATTTCACTTTAAAAAATAAAGATACAATTGATCTACTATTTGAGAGGTAAATTAGCTCTCCTACAAACCCTAGACGTCGTTAGGAACTCACAATAAACACTAAGAAAATAAATTCAACAATATCATAAACTATACCCTAGACAACTCCTCTTTAAATAGCCATAAGCAAAATAACAGAAATTGAATCTTCCTAATCAGCATAAACATAATTTAGGAAACTTTCATAAATAATTAGGTCAACATCCTAATTAGCCTGAACATAATTTAGGAAACCATCCTAATCAATTAAACCCTTCCTAAATAGCATAAACAATTAAGAAATATTCCTAAACAATTTCCCCTTAATTAAAAACATTCTTAAATAGCTCTCCTTGATTAGGAACCTTCCTAAATAGCTTCCCCTTGATTAGGAATATTCCTAAACCGCTTATCCTTGATTCCTATTCCTTACATAATGACTAATAGCTCCCTTGGGCCCTCAAGGTGGGCCCCCCGGCATATCAATTTCTTACCAATGTTGAAGGGAAATTCATTGGATCTGCAGCCAATAATCGAAATGAGCTTCATCATTTTAGAAAAAAAATGTTGCACTACAAGAAAAACTAGCATCAATAGTACAATCCATGAAACAATGGGAAAATTAAATGAATGGAGAAACCATCAAAGCACTATTTAATGTATTTCATGTATGAATTTATTGAGACAATGAAAATGCAGCCATGCATGGCAGTCATAATGCAGCCTTTCAAATCATAAGTAACACCTACCTTACTCCTTCACGCTGAAATGGCAAAAGTTTTGATTCCAAGGAGCTTGGTATCCTATCATATAAAGCTTCCATAAAGCGATTTAGTCAGTCCAACATATTAACTAAAATTTATATAATTAAATGATTATACAACTCAACACCCTATAAACGTACAAATTATGATATTCAGAAGTATCATATGAAATTGTACTCGTAATCATGAAAGACTTTCACTTAAGGATAATAAAAGAAAAAAAAATTGTAGAAACTATAATATTCCTGTACTAAGATTTTCACCTACAACACAACCATAACATATATTCACAAACTCACCTAAAAGGTTTGGGGCAGCATTTGCAGCAGCAAGCGCACGACATACCAATGGGTCTAGACTCTGCAACTGAATGATATGAAACCTTAATAAGCTAACTTAAATATTTTTAGGTCAGAGTATAAATATATAAGCAGTATGATATGATTACCATCAAATATATATAGATTACCTTGATGTGAAGCCATAAGAACAAATATCAACAATATTTACAATTTTCATTTCTTAGGCAGTTTCTCAAACAGCAAATTGCATGTTACCTCTACATTAGCACCACTCACTTCACCAAAAACTTCTTCAGCTATCTTCAAAGAGGAAAGAGGGAACGTCCATAACCTGTAAAGTATGATTCATAGTACAAATATAAGACGGTGTTCAAAGATGAATGAAACACTAGTGTATCCAAAGATTCATGTCACCACATGATTTAATAATGCTATGTAAACAACCTTTCTTGTGGTCGCCAGCTAGCTTTTGGAACTTTGTGAACTGCCTGCACTAGAATCTGCGACATAATTTAAGCACTTGAGAGGAATACTCTGAATTTAGTATGACAACACCAAAACACAAAAGAGAAACATGATCAGTACCGGATTATAAGGGAACTTTGCAGCAATGAGACCAGAAGAATGAAGATAAAATCTAACAAAGAAATGAGGCAAGTCATCTGTAGCATGAATTTCAGCATGATTTAAATTAAATTTATGAGTAAGAATGAAATAATTCACACGCTAAATTAATCAAAGGAAGATATTATATAGGCTTTGTAGAAAGGCCAGTGTTGAAGAGTCAAATACGTCGTTCAATATTTTACCAAAAAATTTGATAGATGGACTTACTGGTGCCTAGAGAGATATCATCAAGCAATCCTGAGGGATCATCAACCTATGAAAAAGAGAAAATTAGAAAGTGGATTTAGAACCTGGCACAAATTACTTAATATGCTGCCAAAATACCACGAAGAAGAAAAAAATGGGAAACTTAAAAGCTTTTTTAAAACAAATTCTAGCAATAATGCTAGAGAAAGAACACCACGTTCAGTAAAGTGTTAAATTGATTGGTAAATATATTAGCTTGGAAGATTAATAACACTCGTTAAATACCCTTGTCATATAAGAACAAATTGCAATAAACGAATTTTAATAAATTAAGTCATGCAAATTTAACCCAAGCATAACTAATGTAACTTAACCATAATTTAAACAAAGCATATTTAATTAGAGGCACGGATGGATTCAACAAAAATCAGCAAAATTGGTCAGAAAAGTAATGCAAAAGGGCTTTCATAGTGATGCAATGCACCATACTCGTCAGATTCAAGAACATTGCTATATAACTTAACAAGTTGAAATGGTTTTTGTGAATTTGGGAAAAAAACCTCATTGTTTCCTCATGTCAAAACTCACTATGTTATAACTAGCTACTAGTTTTTAACATTTGATTAATATTGCATATTTTAACAAAGATGATATTTATTGGTGTTATTATATAAAAAGCAAGAGTGACAAAATAAATAAGATGTAATCACAAAAAAGAAGAAGAATAGTATAAACACAATGAAAACCAAATTGCTGCGATAGAAACTAGACAAACTGTCAATACAACTGATGATGAAGATTACCATCTTTCTTGGAGCAAAATGAAAAAAAAAAATAAAAATTAAGCTATGGTTATTTTGATTTCTTTGTTTTAAGCATTGAGATAAGTAGTTGTCTGATCCATTAGCATAATTAACTATCAAGGATATCCATAATTAAATGGATGTAAGAAATTTAAGACAAAACTACCTAAATTGGTGAATCTAGCTAAACAATAAATAGATATGAATTGTCTCTTATCTTTTTTATAAATAGAACGCCTAAAGATGATATTTTTCAAGTCGGAAGCAATCAAAATCTAAATTCTTCCTTAATCTCTCTCTCCCCCTTTACGGATTTCAACCAACAAACCACATGAAGCGTCTTTTTCTCTCCCCTCTCAATTTGGCATGTTATACAAAGCAAACTTCCAAGACCCTAAGACACGTATTTCCAAGCATCGTGCCACTGAATTCTTCATCCCACTTCACACCGGTAGGCTAGAGAACATCATATTATCTTAAATTTTTTTCATTGAAGCTCTAATCTTTCTTCTAAGATAATTTTTTATTTGTTCAAAACATCTTTCACACCCCCTAATTCTAGCTAAATTCTGAGTCAAAAGAGGACTGAGATGACGAGCTCACTCTCGTGCAAATATAACAATGTCTCAAGCAAATCCTAACAACTCAAAAATATAACAGTCATAGTTAACATCAACAAGTTCCAAAAAGTGCCTAAAATCAAGCACAATATTGATTCCAAGGTTTCCTCCGAAAATTTAGAGGCTGCAGAAGATAATAAACAAGTATGGCAATGAAGCAAAAAGGCTTCAACACTGCAAATGTTCAAGCCTGCATCCAAAGAGTAGGAACATTGATCTCCACAAGCTAATCATAAGAAAGATAAACAACCAACATCAATTGGGATGGAATAAATTGTCCTTAACTACCATGAAAATTATCAAAGCTCCTCAATATATATGACAAGTGTTGGAGAATTTTTGTATCCTCGAACGGATTGCATATTTTATAATCGGGCATGGCATAAGAATACGATATATTACCCCGGAGGGTAAAAATATCATTTTCTCATGGGCTCAATAATAAAATTTACAATTATTTAACAGAGAATGTGCGTCAACAACAAGTTCATAATGTCACCAAAACTGCTATCCTTAAACAAGCGCACTACAATGCCTACTTTGCTAAGAAATATAGGAGTCCCTATAATACCCAAAAATTATGCAAAGTTACTCTTCCTCTAAAAATTATACTCTATTTTTTTCGCACATCCCAAAAATAAATAAAAATATTTTTATAAAATCCTACATAGAATCATTATACATATATAAGTATTAGTTTTATACAATTCATTTAATAATTTAACTAACTACAGAATATTAGTTAAATTTTAATCTTCTCTTATTAAAGTTATTGTAGTAGTAACTAATGTCCCAACACAAAACAACCATCATTTCCACCTTACTAAGCATGTAACAGTGGATCTCCTATAGGATGGCTGTGATGTGTCATAATAGAAGAGAAATAAAGTTTAAATGTTTACAAATATACATATTTACTAAAACCTAAATATCATCATTCCCTGTTTTCCCATCCCCTGGTTGTAGGAGCCTAAACAGAGAAGTGCTGGGAGCTGAAACCGTAAGGGAAAAGAAGACAAGAAAAAAAAAAAAGAAATGAGGAAGGTTTAGCTTAGGTAAGGAATCTGGTTTTTCACAATATTTCCAATGAATTGAGTTTGGATTTGACTTAATAAACATAAAAGATTGAATGAGATGAAATCATTTCAAGGTAAAAACATCACTATAAAGTTATTTTGTATTAAATTGAGTTATTTATTTAGAAATGGTTATAAATTGAGGAAATCAACTTTTAGGTTGTTTGCAAAAGATCAAGATATTAGAGAAATAGAAAAAAGAAAATATGTTCTGAGGAGAACCTAACAATTTATATGAGAAGCTTAATCCTAAAATAAGGAAAAAAATATATATATTCACAGAACTAATATTTATAAACTTTTATAAGTATATAGACCTATTATATATATGTTTATAGAACTTTTTCATATTGAGCATGTCATTAGCACATGATGCTGCTAGTAAAACTACAACACTTTATATGATCACATATTCACATGTTTAAATAATTTCAAAATATTTCTAATTAATTCGTCATAAGGCTATTTAATCAAATATGAGACATAATTAAGTATCCAAATAATGACTTTGTATATATCATGTTTTACCTTTGATGCATATTAATATATTTGGTTGATAACAGGTACATTTCAATGCTAAGTATTTAGAGTGCTCATGATAATGATGTCAAAAATAAAGAAAGTCTAATGAAAGGTCATGGCATGTGGGATGTGTTGGCAGAAGAGTGACAACCTATTCAGTGAGAAGAAAAACTTATGATGACATGATGTAATGCCAGAAAATTTAGGTAAGAATCAAATTAATTACAATTTTATTTATGTTAAGAAACAATTGTTTTTGTGGTAATAAATATTGGATTAAATCAAATTAAATAATTTCTTAATTTCAAGAGATGCTCTCTTTGGTTGAAATCAGTTATTGTGGGCCCTCCTTATCTCTATCTACATCTTCCCAAATCCCTTCTCGAGAGAATTTCACGCATACCAAAAGTCTTCTCACGGAACGATTGAAGAACCGCCATCAGGAAGCCTGAAGGAGTCGGCACAGTGCAGGAAACACTGTGCATTTGTTCGGAGATAGTTACTGTAGCCAGGATCGCAGAAATTTGTTATAAGCTATTTCAATACTGTGCTGCTATCCTGAAGAGAGCAATTCGGTAAGAATTTGAGTAGAAAGGCTTGTTGAAGCATTCGGCCAAGAGTCCTGTAGCATATTTCTGTGGAATGCTTAGAGTAGACTTCGGCTGAGTGCAGAATTTGTTTCTTTGGTTGGCACAATACTTGAGACCACTGTAACAATTCAAGAACTATTTGAAAATCAGCACAGTGACTTTGGAACAGTGGGAATTTGAAGTGCTAAATCTTGTAGCAGAGTTTGGTTGGCAGGTATGAAATTTTTTATAGAGAATTTTATAAATTCTTTAAGAATGTACTAATGGAAATTAGTGAACATTGAAATCTAGAATTTAAGGTGATTAATATGGAATTTTGTGATTATTCGTAGTTAGATTAAAAGGTGAGAAGGAAGCTTATAAAAGGAATATATTTATGCAGAAAGAAAGTTTTGAGGTAGTTTATCAAAGGAGAAGATTTCGTGGTGTAGAATTAGAAGAGGGCATTCAACAAGAAGGTAAGTAAAGCAAAGATTAATGTTTAAATAAACTTATATGTTATTTTTCATTTATTTTGATATAGAATATTTTCTTCACACCTTTAAATATGACATGATGTTTATATCTTTATTATGATATAATTCCAAGTCAATGTTTTGTAAGGTCATTGGACAGTTTTCTAAGGTGATCTTTCTTGAAAAACTTATGTATATTAGCCTTACACAAGATATGTCATGAATGATAATGAAGACTGATATGATATGAATTATGAAAGAATGTTGAATACTAAATTAATGTAAAGTTTGGCTATGAATAATATATATCTTATCATTGTAGTTGGGACAAAAGGGTTCTCATATCAGAACTACATGATAAGTGGGGCAAAAGGGACCCCAGAGAATTATGAAACCTGCATAGCAGGTAAGGCAAAAGGGACCCAAAAGAGGCAAAATGGACCTCTATGTAATTCAATGGCGATAATGCCAGGTTTACCTAGGCTCCATTGAATAATGTTATGAAAATATAATTAAATCTTTTACATAAAATTTATATTCAACAAAGATTCAAAAGATAGCAAAGCATGATATTGATCAAGACTTGTAATGTTTCAATAATAATTTTCAATGTTGTAATCATTTATGTTATACTATTTTAATTGCTAATTAATCCTGCATTACTTGCTGAGCCTCATAGCTCACCAGAACTTTCTTCTGGCTGTTGTTATAGGAAAGGGAAAAGAGAAGATTGATGCAAGCTAATTTATGCAAGTGTTTCTTCTTTTCATATTAGGTTACCTTTTGTTAGTAAGTTTAATTTTCAAGATACTAAAGCAAATAAGACATGTATTACTTTGAAATTATTTGGTTTTCCTTAGTGGCTCTGTATTAGGTTTTGGATGAAACTTAGGAATTGGTACATGCTTCCTTTATTGTATTAGATGAAGTTTATATGATCTTTTATATTAAATCATAATGCAATGTTTAGTGATAGAAATGTATGTTTATTATTGTTACAC